CCACAGTGACCAGACTGGTTTCTGAGAGCTCAGGTGACCACAGTGACCAGAATGGTTTCTCAGAGAGTCCAGGTGACCACAGCGACCAGACTGATTTCTCAGAGAGCCTGGGTGACCACAGTGACCAGAATGGTTTCTCAGAGAGCCCGGGTGACCACAGTGACCAGAATGGTTTCTCAGAGAGCCCGAGTGACCACAGTGACCAGACTGGTTTCTCAAAGAGTCCAGGTGACCACAGTGACCAGACTGCTTTCTCAGAGACCCAAGTGACCACAGTGACCAAACTGGTTTCTCAGAGAGCCCAGGTGACCACAATGACCAGGCTGGTTTCTCAGAGAGCCCAGGTGACCACAGTGACCAGACTGGTTTCTCAGAGAGTCCAGGTGACCACAGTGACCAAACTGGTTTCTCAGAGAGCCCAGGTGACCACAGTGACCAGACTGGTTTCTCAGAGAGCCCAGGTGACCACAGTGACCAGACTGGTTTCTCAGAGAGCCCGGGTGACCACAGTGACCAGACTGGTTTCTCAGAGAGCCCAGGTGACCACAGTGACCAGACTGTTTTCTCAGAGAGTCCAGGTGACCACAGTGACCAGACCGGTTTCTCAGAGAGTCCAGGTGACCACAGTGACCAGACTGGTTTCTCAGAGAGCCCAGGTGACCACAGTGACCAAACTGGTTTCGCCTGTCACTGAATAATTTTTATTTGTTTTTACGTTGTGTCGAGAGCTCGATTAGTTGTGTTTAATAACCTTCAAGACTAGGCAAAGGGCGCAGGCTCAAGCCACAAGGCGCTGGTAAACATCCGCCAGGGAACTGAAGTCACGGTGGCAGCTCACCCCAAGTGCGAAGTTTCTGTCTTAGTCTGTCTGTCTGTCTGTCTCTCTCTCTCTCTCTCTCTCTCTCTCTCTCTCTCTCTCTCTCTCTCTCCTCTCTCTCTCTCTCTCTCTCTCTCTCTCACACATAACTTAAAACTTTGTCTCTTCCACCCTCCTTCCCTATGAGCTCATCCAAAGGCGACCCTGAAACAGGTTGAAGAAATTGTGCAACCAAACAAGTAACTTCAGTGACCACAGAGTTACGACACAAGGTAGCCACATTACGCTGAGACTAGATTGTGAATAAATACCTGGAAGCAGGTGAGAGAAGGTTCCTAATATAAGGAATCAGAGCTACCGCCATCCTCAATAAGTCAGACATGATACCTCTTTCAAACCCCAGGCGCTGTGTGGCTCCTGTGGAATGAGCGTTTACCAGTGAATGCAGTAATAATAATAATAATAATAATAATAATAATAATAATAATAATAATAATAATAAGAAGAAGAAGAAGAAGAAGAAGAATAGTAAGGATCAGAATAATGATAATAGGGGTTTCTTGCAGACTGTTAATTATAAAACAAGACAACAGAAGTCAAAAGTTTTCCTCCTTGTTGATGCGGATCCAACAAGCGCATTCCGCCCACCTTCACACACACACACACACACACACACACACACACACACGGAACGAGACATATAAACAAAGGAACCCCTAAGGGTCAGTCTTAAGACCCAAACTGTTTACTAGTCTTGATACGCATGAGCCCGAGAAGGTAGATGACTACGTGATCATGGGAAAGCAGATTCTTGCATTTACCTGGAGAGATACATTTCTAGGAGAACCTGTACAGGTCTATTTGTATGCAAACCTGGTGAGCTAAATCCTTACACGAACCTTGAGAGGTAGATTTCTACGTGAACTTACAGATACTGTCTATTCCTACATGAATTTAAAGAGGTAGATTACTACGTGAACTTGGAGAGGCAAATCCTTACATAAATCTGAATAAGTAGATTTCTACATGAACCTGCGAAATAGATTCCTGCAATAAACTGGAAAAATAATATTTACTTTAACCTTAAAACAGCAGATTTCTACATTAATCTTAAGAGATAAATTCGTACTTTAGTGAATGTATTTGCTATCAAGGTATTCTTGACTGGCAGCCTTAATGACCTTTGTGTAGTCGAAAGACTTTTGACCAAATTAACCAACCAAGCAACTGTTCCACTCCCGAGCGTTGTATTTGACATAAATGGCAAGAATATTTCATCTTTTAACAAAATGTCAGTTTTGTCTCACCCAAACGAGTTTGTTTTAGTTTTTATGAAGAAAACAAATTTACCTCGACATTTCAAGGTTTAATCTCACGTTTATTTGTCTCCCAGATCCGCCAGAAGGCTTCATTATAGAGGTTTTTCGTTAATAAAGCAGACGAAATTTTGGAGCATACAGTACCAACATGGATCCCACGTCCTCTCAGTCAGATAAAACAGTCTAGTCATCAGGCTAGGCTCGGAGGAAATATGACCACAACATACAAGATACTCAGGCTAGACACCAGGACGAAGGGACACTTGGAGAATTAATTCTAAACGAGCGTGAGGGATATTAGTAGATACATCTTCAATATAAGAATAGTTTCTTCAGGAAGGGTCCTTTGCTGATTGTGGAGGGTCCTTGATCCAAGGAAATAGAGTTACTTCCTCCTTCCTCGGATTATATCTGATTACCCCTGACCCTCCCTTTCCCTAAATCACTGTGACTCTTGCTGGTTTGTGCTTCCTTAACTTCCTCGTGAATATGATGATAATGTGAGGGCAATGAGTGTGAGTAGTGAGTGTGTTTAAACACACTTAAGTGAGGTTAATGAGTGTGACAAATCCACTGAGGTTAATGAGTGTGTTGAATACGCTTAAGTGAGAGTAATGAGTGTGTTAAACACACTAAGTGAGGGTAATGAGTATGTGGGACATACTGAGTGAAGACACCAGCATGAGAGTAGTAAGACATAGGAAATACAAGTCAACTCACCATTTTCTCTCAAGTACATACATCACAAGGGCTTGCTCACAGAACCAAGGTAGGCAGCACAACTGAACATATGAATTTATAAACACCTGGGTTATCACCACTGAATCGACATATTAATATCCTATCACGAGTCTGTAGCTTGAGGTTTCAGGTTTGGCTAAGCATCTTGATTTTTAGAGGTGTTTTGTTTACTGATGAACTCTGCTTCTATGTATCTATCCCCCTTCCTTGATGATGAGTTGAACCCCTTGCCCTGGCTTAATATGTACGTGTTTGCTTTGATGATCAGAATTAGCTTTGTTAATGTTGTGAGTTCTGCCAGCATATTGGCTCTTCTATGCTCGTCTTTAAATTGCGTGATGTTTCTCCTTTGTTATGTTCATCACATCTACCACAGGGAAAAGGTGTTCACTCCTGCACGGATGTTATTCTGACTAGTGTATCCTAGTCTAGTATTATCTCGTATGGTTTTTTTATATGATTTTTTTGGGGGGGAGGGGGTCGCCCTACGTCGGTGGGAAACAGGCGGTGCATTAAAAAGGGGGAAATTGGGATATTAAAGCAATTTTTCCCCATTTCCTGTGACTGTATCATCAGTGTTTTCGAAGTTGTTCTTCAGTTTGTGTTCCAGCATTCATGATTTCAGCAACACATCATTTCATCCAGATATGGTAGATTGTTTCAAATTTTTGTTAGAAATGATCGAAATTTCAAACTACTTGATAAAATATACAAAAGACAATGACAACTTTGAATATTTCGTCACAAACAGGTCGATGGACTACAAGAAGAGACATGACAACTCAGTAATATGGGAAAACTTGATATAAAACTTAAGTTCTTTGATTGTAACTTTTTTTTTTTTTACTCAGAGTGGATAATAACTTTCTCCAAGGCACCCATTACTGCCCTCATTACCTCCACTGCTACCATTACCACCACCACTACCACCAACACCATCTCCTTGACCACCCCCACCTCCACCACCACGTCCACCAAACCACCACAAAATCTATTATCGACACAGACATACTGCCACTTCAGCGAATAAATGCACATCAACTCTTTTGATGAAAATAGAGCATGATGCAATGTTTCACTCATTGATATATAAGCTCACTATGTGGACGTAAATATACGCAATGTACGCACCTGCGGTTGTCTAGATGGAGTCTGCTCCTGGCCCCACTTCTCGCCAACTTACGAACGACCACACTATACTCTTGGCCTGTTGGGCCACAAGTTAAAGGCCCCGGGAAAACCCAACACAGGACCTGGTTTCATTACATTTATAGCACAACCCCAACAAGCTAATAAGACACACGTGCAACATCTGGGTATTCTTATAATGAAGACGTATCACCAACCAGTAGCTTTGTTAATTCAGGTGATAGATAATGTGCTAGAGATAATGAATGATGAGATAGTCAGTCCCTCAGTCTGAACACCTGCCAAAGGTGAGGGACTAATTACCTTATTTTTCACTGTCTGCAGGACTTCATCTGGTTAGCGAAAAATTTCTTTAATAAAGATGCCCAGATGCTGCACGTGTGCAATACTATCAACAATAATTGATTAATATTAATTAGAAAGAGAGCCAATGAGGTGGAAGAAGCGGAACGATGCAGCAGCAGAAGCAACAACAACAACAGCAGCAGCAATAGTAGTAGTAGTAGTAGTAGTTGCAGCAATGGTCACTCGTGGCTGCGGTACTTCAATGCTTCACATGTGCCTTATTCATCAGTATGTCAGTATTATCACTGATTTAGTTATATTGCCATACACAGCAACATCATGGAGTCTTGCTATGGAGAATATAAGAACTTAAGAATGGGGGAGGACTGCAGTAGGCCTACTGGCCCATGCTAGAACTTACTAAAAAAGTGACCACAGTTACCTCTTCATCACAGTTCAAACCTCCTACGACTTGTTATTATTATTGTTCTTGTTATTTTTGTTGGAAAGAACTACCACCCTGTGGAACTACTACCTTATATGTAAAGTAAGAGATATATCAGTTAGTAATTAGGTGTGATGATAGAAAATGAATGGTACCTCCTATTCTTTCGATCGGAGGAGTTCTACACGAGGCTGAGAGCATCTCAGTCACGTAAGCAACTTCTTACACTTCTCCCTCCCGACAGATGACACAAGTAGGAGCGATGCTGGTGGTGGTTGTGGTGGTGGCGGTGCTGCACATGGCGGCGTCAGAACCACAGATATTAGCAGCGTCGGCACAGTCCCTAGGGACGGGGGTCGCACACAGTGAAACTACCGACAACAACGGAGTTATCATCGGCGAATGTGCATACTTGAACAGCAACGGAGAGTCCGTTAAGGTGAGTGACGGTGGTAGTGTTTTGTCAGTCAAGACACAGGACAGTGTTTTCTGACCAGGGTCTTTGTCAGAAAGCGACCCAGTGGTATTTTGTTTATCAGGTTATATAACAAGGTATCATCTGATATGGGGCTTGCTAGCGGTGGTTTATCGTGCTCCCTTTGTTCATCCTGAGAGCGATAAATGTTTATAAACCATACCACGGGTGGGGATAGAACCCGCGATCAGAGAGTCTCAAAACTCAAAGAGCAATGTTTATATTTTGTAGACATCATCGAGATGGGAAGGGGGAGTTTTTGAGGGGGATTGGACATTCATAGAGAATTGAACAAAATAGGATGATCTGAAGTGTGTATAAATCTGTACTGGAGGGAAGAAGGGGTAGATGTCGCGTAGGGAAAGGTTAGAGAGAGGGATAAAGGTTTTGAATGCGAGGGGCTTGGACACTAAGCAGGCGTGTACAAGCGTTTCAGAGAGGAGTGAGTGGAGGCAAGTGGTTTTTATAACTTGACGTGGTGTTGGAGTGTAAACAAGGTAACATTTATGAAAGAATTCAAGGAATACCAGTTATACGGACTTGAGCCCTGAAGGTGGAAGGTACAGTGTTTACACTCTGAAGGAGGAGTGAGGATATTGCAGTTTGGATGGTCATCTGAACTGTAGTATCGGCGCACCTCTGGCAAGACGGTGATGGAGTGAGTGATGATGAAACTGTTTCATCTTTTTCGGATCACCTTCCCTCGGTGGGAGACGGCCGGTGTATTAAAAAAAATAAGTCATCAAGTTGGTTAATTTCTTAAAATGTTATCTCGTCATATTAAAGTTAATTTATATAGCTGACGAAAAACACGTATGTAATATTATTTTTTTATCTATAATTTATACACACTGCAGCTTAATCGTGGCGTTTTAATTGCTAATTAAGAACGCCATTAAAAATTAAAGGTCCTGGAAAGAGTTAAACTTTTCCAGTGTTCATATAAATTATATTAAGATCGATAGTTTATCTGGAGATCTGGAGTTTATCTGGAGAGAGTTCCGGGGGTCAACGCCCCCGCGGCCCGGTCTGTGACCAGGCCTCCTTAGGTCAGTGTCCCAGGATGCGACCCACACCAGTCGACTAACACCCAGGTACCCATTTTACTGATGGGGAACATAGATAACAGGTGGAAAGAAACACGTCCAATGTTTCTACTCTGGCTGGGAATCGAACCCAGGCCCTCGCCGTGTGAAGTGAGAGCGTTAACCACCAGGCCACTGTATTTCCAAAAATAAGTTATTAGCCAATTGAAACCCTGAAAATAAGTAACTTTTCCCTGCAGCTCACCCTCATTTAACACCGTTAGTTTTGCACCTCCAATTTCTGAATGATTCCTGCCTGCGGGAAAAATGTTTTTCACTTTATTTTACCATTTCAGATCAGCTACCGAAGGGCTCCCAATGGGGTTCTGGAAGTCAAGTCCAACAATCAGAATGTGAGAAATCCAGAGGCTGAGTTGCAGGCGTGCCAGAAGGCCGCAAACGTCATTACAAAGAACGTGCAGGACAGCCTCCGCCAGACGCAGGAACAGGTCAGCCAGAGTAATATACACTTGGTGTAAAAAAGAAACTCACATGAAGTGAGAGTTGGTATGAGGTGCTCTTTAGTCACATGAAGAGAGAGTTGGTATGAGGTGCTCTTTAGTCAGTTAAACAAGGTAGGTATCTTTAGTTTACTGAAATAAGGCTTAATGTGAGTTTACCTATGTTTACATATGGCAAGTTTCGAGGGCTCTTATATCCCCCACCATTGTTGTAGTTATTTATTTTCAGAGATTTTTGTATTGCTTTATACTGTGCGTTTGATTTAAAATATTCCCTTTATATACACAATTCATAATTATATGATGATTCTATAAATATAAATATCTTTTCTAAGAAAATTTACTTTAGATTTTTCATCAAACTTGTTTATTTCCAACTTTTTTGTTTCTTGTAAATTCTATGTTTCTTATCAGATCTTAATTTCTTGTCAAATCTTTTTTTTATCGTAAATGCTGCAGTCAGCTCTTAAGCTAGCTGCAGTTTTATGCTCAGATGTTGACACATATCTTTCTTGACAGATCTTCACCCAGCAGAAAGCCCTGCAAGAACAGATCCTCGGCCAGACACAGCTTTTTCAGAACCAGCTGTTGAACGCACCCAACACTTTCCCTAATTTCTTCCCCTTCGGCAACAATTTCCCCTTCAACTTCCGCTAGAGATAACTTGACCAGCATACACATAGATAATGCAGATAGCCTTCCCCTGTGTCTTCTTGATGTTTCAACATTTTCTTCTCTTTTTTTCCACTTTTCCTGTATGTTACCACGTGTTTAAGGTTTCATTGTAGTCTCTGTTTGCAGTATTACTGAGAACAATTCATTACGATTATATATTTGAATGTCCAAGTTATGGGGGACTTTGAAATTCATTAAATAATTGTTATATATTGATTTATATTATCTATCAAGAGATACAAGGTCAAAACAACCACAGAGGGAGTTGAATGAAAGCTCTAGGCCTTTCGTGTTGCAATCAACACATCATCAGGAGCTTGCAAGGTTGCAGAAAAGTGTATGAATTCCAAGTTTGGAATTCATCCAATTTTCTGCAACATTACAAGTTTCTGATGATGTGTTGATTGCAACACGAAAGGCCTAGAGCTTTCATTCAACTCCCCCCGTGATTGTTTTGCACATATATATATATATATATATATATATATATATATATATATATATATATATATATATATATATATATATATATATATATATATATATAATATAATATGTCGTGCCGAATAGGCAGAACTTGCGATCTTGGCTTAAATAGCAACGCTCATCTTGCCATATAGGAGAAGCGAAAATTTGTGTATGCAATAATTTCGCCAAAACCATTCTGAACCTAACGAAAAAAATATATTTCACTGTGCTTGTTTAGTATTAAATTATTGTAAAGAAATCTAAAATGTATTTAGTTGGGTTAGGCTAAAATAAATTGCGCTTGTTATAATAAGGTTAGGTAAGTTTTCTAAGATTCTTTTGGTTCAAAATTAAAAATTTTAACATTAACAATAATGAAAAAAATATATCTTTAAATATATAAGAGAAAATTGTATAAAGGACTTAATTTTAAATGAGTTCTTGCTAATTGACCAGTTTTACATATTCGGCACGACATATATATATATATATATATATATATATATATATATATATATATATATATATATATATATATATATATATATATATATATATATATATATATATATATTATATATATATGCGATTTTAATCATTAGCAGAACTGCGGCTTGGCCAGGACTCGACCCTGCGTTCCCATGCCCGGCCCTGTGAGAATTAAACAAAGTACGACTCACTCTCTCCACTTGACCAGGATTGCTCTAAAACGCTAAATTTTAAACGTTCTATTAAATTGTGATATATCATTTTACAAGACATCATCATCTCCTTAAGCTTAAACTTATGTTTAACGAGACAGTAGCTGTGTTAGACACACATCAGTATAATGTATGCTGCAAATCTGCAGGTTATTTTCTTATGGATAAAACTTTATCTAAGGTATATATTAATTAAGTCGACACTGTGTAATTTATATTGAAAACTGGAAGTGGTGGATATGAATTTTCTTTGGTTTTTGGAAACAATGACTTTGAAACCAAATATAGTGAATATGTACTCGATGAAATGAATAATATGTTGTATAATGTAATGGACTAAGGGATTATTACATTGTATAATTGTTAACTGTTTTGAGCGAAAGGCTTATGTATTCTTAAGAGAAAAAATCGTATCAATGTCATTTATACCTTAGGAAGCGACAAAGATGTCCACTTGGTGCGGATAAGCTTAAATATCATGCCTTATGATGCGATGTTTAAATTTATACTTGGCTGTTGATAAACCAGAGGAAGGTCTCGGACAAAGGGCTACAAGACCCACTACTTGAATTATCATATCACTAGGTTCTACGTCATGAGACGTATATCCATTTCTCTCGACAAAAAAAAAAAAAAACACAGCCAACAGTAACATGTATACTCTTATGATACAGTAATATTGCAATCCTTGATTTTGATCCATGAGGTGATATAAATTTCTCGCAGCTTTAGGTGTAGTGGATAATAAAAACATATGGATACTATCTCTCCTTTTATCTGACTTGAATGGGTGGCCTTCACCAGGCAAATGGTAATTCCTCTCGGTTATTGGCTAATATTTTCGTAGATAATCTTTGTGTTATCGTTAATTTTCTTTGTGTTGTCTGTCTTAAATTTACTGATTTGTTTTGAGTGTTGTAAGAGTAAATAAAAACTCTGAAAAAAACAGGCGTGGTAAGCCACAATTTGCAACTAACCCAGAAAGTGGCAGACGGTCCAGGACGTCGTTTGGATCCGTCTTCAATTTGAAGATTTGTTCTGAATTGTTCCAGCCACGGTGCTGTGACTTTAATTTTTGTGAGGTGTGAGGAGGCTGATGTTGTCACTGCTTCATTTTCTGTCTTAGATCATGTAAGACAAACTCATCTTTGCATCCTCACCTGTCATTCTCGGAGGTGCTTTTTCTTAATAGTGTTTTGAGGTAAGAATATTTTCATTCATTTTCAAGTAGGTCGATGTAATGGCCTCACATTATGACAAGTTTGATGACAGTATTCAAAGGATTGAATGAAGAATGTTTCGTGAATGAGTTTGAGTGTTTCTTGTCGCGATGTTTGATGGTTCAAAACAAATTGTGATTCCGGGATATAATTATTAGATTTTTAGGTCTTACAAAATCCAATACATATCTTTTTATAACAGCGTCGTAGAAGCCAAGGGATTTAAGATTACAAGTGAAAAATTACTTATTTATCTTCATGTGTTTATGTCTCTGTAAGAGAAGAGGATCTGACCTCTTCAGGTGTGCAGAAAATCAGCTGTTAAATTGTTTGTAGGTATTAGAAAATACGGCAGATGGTGGGAGGTAAACAGATTTGATCTAAAGGAATTTAAGAGGAGCTCCAATTCCTTTTGATCAAAAAAAATTCTCAAGCATCAATGTGCTCCTTTTAAGGAAATAATGAGTATCCTCTACCAGAATGAGTGGAAGAGGGATAACTAAGATTCAGTATGTGAGCTGAGGTATATATGATGTGCTTCCCATGTCAGGTGCTTTAATTCTACCATTTTCTAATTATTTTTTAGCCTTTTTTTCATATTTTTGGAATAGTGAAAATATAGCATCGACAACCTTGTTGTGTTGCTTTCTAGATTAGTTCATTAAAACTTTTAAAGCAAAAATCTTTATTATATTTGTTAAAATGTTATAAGTTTAATTTATAACTTGTTTATATGAATATATATTCGGGACTAAATTTAAAATGAGAGTTTCATTTCTCCATTTTTTTAACTATGTTTCGGTCGCTGCACGAGAGATGTCAAATCAAATCAAGTTTATTCTCTATGAAGATTACAACGTGGGGTTTACATATTCTAGGATATTGTGTGGTTTACTTATTATATAAAACTAATTACAGAGAGGGTCAATGTCACACCTAGCATGACTAGGTATTTCGGGCAGACGACTAGGCATTTCTGACTTGTATGTTGATGAACGCAAAAAAAAAAAAGCCAAAGAAAGACGTAATTCAAAACGCTGACGAGGAAGAGCAACTGCGGCTCATAACCTCCAAAAGAGGTCCAGGAGTTTGAGATCAACTCTTTCAAAAGGCCCAGAAGCTTAAGTTCAACATTCAGTACGTTTAGTAACTGTGACTTAATACTTTCAAAATGCCGAGGAACTTAAGCTCAAGACACTCAAAAACTTTTGCAACTGCAGATTGATACCCTGCAAAAGTACCAGGAGCTGTGGATCAACGCCCTTAAGACACCCAGGAATTCAACCCGATTAAACAATAGAAATATCAATGCTGTCAAACTCTCAGAAAATCACCCCTCAAGGAAGGTTCCTTGATGTTGGTGAGGGGCTCTTGATTTAGGGAATTGGATCTGTGCTCCAGTTCCCCGAATTAAGCCTGAATGCCTTCCACATCCCCCCCCCCCCAGGCGCTGTATAATCCTCCGGGTTCAGCGCTTCCCCCTGATTATAATAATAATAATCTCAGAAAATCAAGGCAGAAGGACACATAGTTCTCTTATAATATGTTGATATATCTGCCCTGAAATGCTTCAACCAGAAATCCAAAAATCTTGTATATTGTTTAGAGTATAAATACGGAGATATGACAACAAAAACTGTATAGTCCTTGTGGCTTAGCGCTTCTTTTTTGATTATAATAATAATAATAATATGACAACAAAAACATTAAAATTTTTGCTTCAAATGAAATTGTAAATATTTAATTTGTCTGCATTTTCGACGCCGCTGAAAAAGAAGAGAAATTTGTCCAACTTCAGAACTCAATAAAATATTAGGTATTTGTTATTTTTTTCAATTTCCTTTTTTCAGTTACATTTGGTTTTTAATTCTCAGCAATGTTGTATAAAAATAATTGTGCTCACTGTACTTTTATCAAGACTGATAAACTGAAGACATCGACTCCAGGCTGAGGGACTGATTACCTCAAACTACTCCTCATCTTCCACCGTTTTCTGTATTGTACTAAAGAAGCCACTGGATGGCGAAACGTCTCCAGATTAAAGATACCCAAATGCTGCACAAGTGTCTCATTCATCAAAATACATCAGTATTGAAAGTATGAAGTCGATCAGAAGGGTCATTCTCCAGCTATCACACTGACACCAATAACCCAATTTATTTAGCCAAATAAATTAATTTGAACCTACACAGCGCAATAACAATACAATCCTTCCTTAGTTTAACAAAAACACACCAGAAATGAAAACTTTAAACCCGCCCAAATTTATCAAAGAGAAACCGATAATCTTCACTTAACTGTGTTACGAATGTGAACTTTGTATCCTGGCATTCCGAATGGAAATAATTCAGTCTGACTTTTTTTGAGAGATATCCTAAGTAATTTACACTTACCTGTACCTAAATAAAAGTCTTATAACCACACATTTCATTTTCACGTACAACAGCATTTAAAGTCAAAGGGGATTTTAAAAGTGGGATTTTTAAGTTATTGTAAAGAAAAAAAATAACACATTTTTAAATAAAATAATAATTCATAAGGAATTAGAGACATTAAGTGTGATTCATACAATGAAAATTACAGAGCGTGAGGAAAATTAATAATAGTAAAAAAAGATATCATACAAGGTAAAAACTGATAAAGTTCTGGGAACATGAATAGGTTAAGAAAAAGGGAAGATCTAGCTTGCAACTGAAGGAATAACCAAACAAACAAAGGTTCATTCTTGGCTATGGACGCTCCAATTAACCACATACTTACTGCAGTGGACGTATGTAAACCATTTCTCGACTTGTTTAAAAATTTACAAGAGTTTCTCCCTTAAAAGCGTAAACACAAACATCATTTGAAAGCAATTTGAGAGGGTAAAAATCGTGTGGGATCACTGGGTGTCCCTCAAGACAAACTTTTTGCTGGAAGAGAAGGAAAAAAACTTTACTTTCGATAAAAAAAATGGCGTATGTGTGTGTGTGCGTGTGTACTCGCCTAATTGGTGCAGGTCGTACTCAGCTCTGCCCGCCTCTTCACTGCCGCTACTGGGTCTCCCTTTTCCCCGCTCATGGCTTTATCATACCTCGTCTTAAAAACTATGTATAGTTCCTGCGTCCACTACAAACGCTTGCCAGACTATTCCACTTCTAATAACTCTGTGGCTGAAGAAATATTTCCCAACATCCCTTTGATTCATCTGAGCTTCAACTTCCAATTGTGACCTCTTGTTTCTGTGTCCCATCTCTAGAACATCCTGTCTTTGTCCACCTTGTCTATTCCACGCAGTATTTTTATGTCGTTATCATGTTACCCCGACCCTCCTGCCCTCCAGTGTCGTCAGACTGATTGTGGGTGTGTGTAAACGGGCCCAATGTACTTAGGTGTTAATTTTTTTTGACCGGAAAATTTTTACACATATGTTTCTGCATGTACATAATGGTTCATGATGTTTTTAAATATGTAAATCATGTTTTTTTATCAACAAATTTCTTTCAAATCTTTTTTATCGTAAATCTCAGTCAGCTCTTAAGCTAGCTGCAGTTTTATGCTCAGATGTTGACACATATCTTTCTTGACAGATCTTCACCCCACAGAAAGCCCTGCAAAAACAGATCCTCGCCAGACACAGCTTTTTCAGAACCACTGTTGAACGCACCCAACATTTTCCCTAATTTCTTTCCCCCTTCGGGCAACAATTTCCCCTTCAACTTCCGCTAGAGAAAAACTTGACCAGCATACACATAGATAATGCAGATAGCCTTCCCCTGTGTCTTCTTGATGTTTCAACATTTTCTTCTCTTTTTTTTCCACTTTTCCCTGTATGTTACCACGTTTTTTAAGGTTTTCATTGTAGTCCTGTTTGCAGTATTACTGAGAACAATTCATTACGATTAATATTTGAATGTCCAAGTTATGGGGGACTTGAAATTCATTAAATAATTGTTATATATTGATTTATATTATCTATCAAGAGATACAAGGTCAAAACAACCACAGAGGGAGTTGAATGAAAGCTCTAGGCCTTTCGTGTTGCAATCAACACATCATCAGGAAGCTTGCAAGGTTGCAGAAAAATGTATAATTTCCCAAAATTTTGGGAAATTTCATCCAATTTTCTGCAACATTACAAGTTTCTGATGATGGGGTTGATTGCAACACAAAGGGCCTAGAGCTTTCATTCAACTCCCCCCGTGATTTTTTTTGCACATATATATAATATATATATAATATATAATATATATATATATAATAAATATATATATATATATTATATATATATAAAATATATATATATATATATAAATTTTGTCGTGCCGAATGGGCAGAACTTGCGATCTTGGGCTTAAATAGCAACGCTCATCTTGCCATATGGGAGAAGCGAAAATTTGTGTATGCAATAATTTCGCCAAAACCATTCTGAACCTAACGAAAAAAATATATTTCACTGTGCTTGTTTAGTATTAAATTATTTAAAGAAATCTAAAATGTATTTAGTTGGGTTAGGCAAAATAAATTGCGCTTGTTATAATAAGGTTAGGTAAGTTTCTAAGATTCTTTTTGTTCAAAATTAAAAATTTTAACATTAACAATAATGAAAAAAAATATATCTTAAATATATAAAGAAAATTGTATAAAGGACTTAATTTTAAATGAGTTCTTGCTAATTAAACCATTTACATATTCGGCACGACATATATATATATATATATATATATATATATATATAAAATATATATATATATAAAATATATATATAAAAATATATATATATAATAAAATATATATATATATATATATATATATATATAAATATATATATATGCGATTTAATCATTAAGCAGAACTGCGGCTTGGCCGGGACTCGACCCTGCGTTCCCATGCCCGGCCCTGTGAGAAATTAAACAAAGTACACCACTCTCTCCACTTGACCAGGATTCTCTAAAACGCTAAATTTTAAACGTTTCTATTAAATTGTGATATATCATTTTACAAGACATCATCATCTCCTTAAGCTTAAACTTATGTTTAACGAGACAGTAGCTGTGTTAAACACAACAGTATAATGTATGCTGCAAATCTGCAGTTATTTTCTTATGGATAAAACTTTATCTAAGGTATATATTAATTAAGTCGACACTGTGTTAATTTATATTGAAAACTGGAAGTGGGGGATTGAATTTTCTTTGGTTTTTGGAAACAATGACTTTGAAACCAAAAAATAGTGAATATGTACTCGATGAAATGAATAATATGTTGTATAATGTAATGGACTAAGGGATTATTACATTGTATAATTGTTAACTTTTTTTGGAGCGAAAGGCTTATGTATTCTTAAGAGAAAAAATCGTATCAAGTCATTTATCCCTTTAGAAGCGACAAAGATGTCCACTTGGTGCGGATAAGCTTAAAAAATCATGCCTTATGATGCGATTTTTAAATTTATACTTGGCTGTTGATAAACCAGAGAAGGTCTCGGACAAAGGGCTACAAGACCCACTACTTAAATTTATCATATCACTAAGTTCTACGTCATGAGACGTATATCCATTTCTCTCGACCAAAAAAATACCACAGCCAACAGTAACATGTATACTCTTATGATACAGTAATATTGCAATCCTTGATTTTGATCCATGGGGTGATAAAAATTTTTCTCGCAGCTTTAGTGTAGTGGATAATAAAAACATATGGATACTATCTCTCCTTTTATCTGACTTGAATGGGCGGCCTTCACCAGGCAAATGGTAATTCCTCTCGGTTATTGGCTAATAT